TCTTTTTTTTTTTGAATTAGCCCAAATCGTCTGCAACCTGCTGCTTGCATTTCATTTGATGTTCTTTCAACCCTTGAGTCATCTTCTCCAAAAGAAATACCTCGTGCGGGCGCGCATGGTACAGTGCGATTGAAACTTCGTGGCCCATGCGCAGAAGTCGGTATTTTGTGGAAGAACCACACTCAAGGGGCCAAAGAGCCGCATGTGGCTCGTGAGCCGCAGTTTGCCGACCACTGTCCTAGGGTAAGACCCTTTCTCCAGGAAGCCTCTCTGATTACCCTTGGCTCCCATCCTGGCTCCCTAGCCTGAAGTTCCCCCCTTTATCCCAGACCTGTTCATACAGGCCTGGGAGTTTCTCTGTCCAGTGCCATCTCCCTGAGAATAGGAGATGCTGAGACCTCTTGGGGTGCCCAGAAGTGCCCAGCACAGGTCGGGGACCAAGTGGGTGGCAGGGAGGGATTGCTGAGTACATGAAAGGCTTGATTGCGGATGTGGGATTGGTTTGGGGTTGGGCTGTGAAACACACATGCACGCATACACAAGTATGCACGCACCCACACTCCAAGGCACCTGGTCTAGGCTGGGCCTAGGAGGAAGCAGAAAGGCTGGGGTTCCAAGGATGAATCACCCTCACCCCTACTTTTCTCCCACCTCTTGAGGCCCATCTGCCAGGGTAGATCAAAGGCCCCTCCAGGCTGCAGGCAAACTAGGGGTCTCGTGAGAATAGTCACTGTTCAGGGCCAGGGGACAGCCCTAATGGAAGTAACATTGGCACAGACAGGCAGAGCCCTGCGCCCTGGATCTGAAGTGAAGCTGGGATCGGGGCCAGAGGTCAGAGGAAAAGAAACTTGGGGCTAAGGTCAGAGTTAATATTCACTTTAGTAGCAGTAATATAATAATAATGAAGGCCCTAATAATAGTAATAATAATTGTGTGCAGGGCTTCGAGCTAAGATTTTATATGCTTGTGTTTTTATTCAGCTCGGGGTTTTGTTAAGCGACATCGTACAGCAGGAGTCAGCAAACTACAGCCTATGGACCCGCTGTCTGTTTTGTGAACAGTTTTTTGTCCCTCAGTGAAAGTCACCTTACATAAAGTGAACCGTTTTAGAGTGTACACTTGTGTGGCATTTAGTACAGTCGCAATGTTGTGTAACCGCCACCTCTACCTAGTTCTAAAACATATTTATCATCATGAAATAAAGCCCTGTACCTGCGAATCAGCACCTCTCCATTATTCACCAGCCTGGGCAATCACTGATCTGCTTTCTGACTCTATGGACTTGCCTGTTCTGGACATTTCATATAAACAGATTAATGCACTATGTAACTTTTTTTTTTTTTTAATTTCACTGAGCATAATGGTTTTGTGGTTCATTCACATTATAGTATGAATTAGTGCTTTTTATCATGAATCGATCCTTTTAATGGCTGAATAATATCCCATTGTATGGAATATTCATTTGTGTAAAATGGAGGTTTATTGGAATACATCGTTTCCTATTTGTTTATATATTGTGTATGACTGTTTTCATGCCATAACAGCAGAATTCAGTTGTTTTGACAGAGACTGTCTGGTCTGCAAAGCTGAAAATATTTACTGTGTGACTTCTCCCTTTCCTCCAGCTTGTTGACATACTAGTGACCCAGTGCATGAAATTCGTGCACATTAAAAGGGAATTAATTAGAAGAAATATTTTAATATTGCTATTTGCCCTTTCTCTATAATAGAATTGTCAGGGATGAAAGAAAATTAGTAAAATGTATATGAAAATCTTCCTCCTGTCAGAGTCTGGGGTGCGCTATGGGAATCAGAGTCAAGTCCCCGTCCACCCATGTGCGCCTTGAAATTGCGCGAGACCCAGACCTGGCCAGCCCGACCCCATTGGGCTAGATCCAGACCCAGCCGGCCCCACCCTCATCAAGCCCTGCTGTGTGTGTGGGGGCATCCTCAGGTCACTTGGCCCAGCACCAGGGCAGGGGGCGTGGCCTGATGTCCCCCGGCCCAGGCCGGGGGGTGCGCCTTGAGGTCCCCCGGCCTGGGGCAGGGGGCACAGCCTGAGGTCCCCGGGCCTGGGCCGGGGGGAGGGGCGTGCCTTGAGGTCCCCTGTCAAACCCTGCTTGGTGGGGGTGTGGCCTCAGGTCCTCTGGCCCGGCACCAGGGCGGGAGGTGCGGCCTGAGGTCCCCCAGCCCGGCACTGGGGTAGGGGGTGCTCCCTGAGGTCCCCTGTCAAGCCCCGCCAGGTGTGGAGTGCAGCCTCAGGTCCCCTGCCCCAGCCCAGCGCCACACAACCTCAGGTCCCTGCTGATTGCTTGTTAAGGCTCATTATGGGAACTCGGCCTCCACTGTGGGTGCAGCCATCTTGTGTTATGGAATCCCTGCCTCAGCTGTGGGTGCAGTCATCTTGACCATTATGGTGTGGCGGTCAATTTGCATATTCCCTCTTTATTAGATAAGATAATCTATATATATAAAAGGCTAATATGCTAAGTGTCCTTCCCTCCACCCTGGTAATGATGTCACGTAGCAACGTCTGGCTTCCTCTCCCTAGCGACCACGAGCCTCCTTGCGGTTTCTTCAGCCCAGGAACATGACTTGCTTTATAGCCAGGTGGAAACATTTCACACTGTAACAAAATGTCTGTGAAGCGTTTTCCCATGCCTCATCTCATTTGATCCTCACAGAAGTCCTGGAATAGGCAGATGGGAGACTTGGTGGAATCCTATTTTCTTTTCATTAGCCGGAAAATGGCGATTTAGAAAGCTTAGAAACTTGACACGACTGAAAAGAAGTAAGAAATGGTGGGCCTTGAAAATGACTTCAGGTTTTCTCACTGCGCAGAATATAGTCAAACACTGCTGCAGTTAAATATTTCACCCTTTGTTCTCCCTGCATGATCTACAATGATAATCTGCCTTGTGTTGATATTTACTG